ATTTCTTCATGTGTCTGTTAGCCACCTGAATGTCTTCTTTGGTGAAGTGCCTGTTCATATCCTTTGCCCATTTTTTAACTGGGTTATTTGTCTTTTAGTTGTTGAGGTTTTGCAGTATCTTGTAGATTTTAGAGATTAGACGCTAATCGGATTTGTCATAGCCAAAAATTTCTTCCCAATCTGTAGGTTGTCTTTTGACTCTTTTGGTGAAGTCTTTTGATGAGCATAAGTGTTTGATTTTTAGGAGCTCCCAGTTATCTAGTTTCTCTTCTGGTGTTTGTGCATTGTTACTTACGGTTCGTATTCTGTTTATGCCATGTATCAGGGCTCCTAGCATTGTCCCTATTTTTTCTTCCATGATCTTTATCGTTTTAGATTTTATATTTAGGTCTCGATCCATTATGAGTTTTTGTGCATGGTGTGAGGTATAGGTCTTGTTTCAGTTTTTTGGAGACGGATATCCAGTTACACCAGCATCATTTGTTAAAGAGACTGTCTTTTCCCCAATCAATGGATTTTGGGCCTTCGTCAAATATCAGCTGCTCATAAATGAATGAATTTATGTCTCGATTCTCAATTCCGTTCCACTGGTCTATGCATCAGTTGTACCAGTACCAGGCTGTTTTGACTACTGTGGTGGTATAATAGGTTCTAAAATCAGGTAGTGTGAGGCCTCCCACTTTGTTGTTCTTCTTCAGTAATGCTTTACTTATCCGGGGCCTCTTCCCTTTCCATATGAAGTTGGTGATTTATTTCTCCATCTCATTAAAACACGCTGTTAGAATTTCGATCAGGATTGCATTGTTATCTGTAGATAGCTTTGGGTTGAATTGACATTTTCACAATGTTGTGTCTTCCTATCCATGAGCAAGGTATGTTTTTCCACTTATGCAGGTCTCTTCAAAAGAGACACACTTTAAACTCAAGGATACAAATAGGGTGAAAGTGAAAGGATGGAAAAAAATATTCCATCCAAATAATAACCAACAGAAAGATGGGGAGGTAATCTTAATATTAGACAAAGTAGACTTTAAGACAACATCTGTTAGAACAGATAAAGATGGATATTATATAGTAATAAAAGTGTCAATTAATCAATAAGATTTAACAATCATAAATATACATGCACCCAACATCAGGGCACCTAAATATGTAAAGAAAACACTGATAGAATTGAAGGGAGAAATAGATAGTACTACAATAATAGCTGGAGACGTCAATACACCACTTTCAATATTGGAGAGAACACCTAGAAAGAATATCAACAAGGAGACAGAGGACCTGAATGGTATTATAAACCAACTTGACTTAACAGACATATATAGAATACCCCACCCAACAACAGCACAATATATATTCTATCCCAGTGAACATGGATCATTCTCTAGAATAGACCACATGATAAGTCACAAAGAAAGGCTTGATAAGTGTAAATACAAAAATAAAAATAAAAATACAAAAAAAATACAAAGTATTTTTGTAATTATAACTGAGTAAACCTAGAAAGCAATGACAGAAAAAAAAAAAAAAGGAAAACACATAGCTATATGGAATTAAACAACACACTATTAAACTACTACCAATGGGTCAATGAAGAAATCAAAAGAGAAATCACAAATTTCCTAGAGTGAAATGAAAATGAAAGCACAACATACCAAAACTTATGGGATGCAACAAAGGCAGTACTCAGAGGGAAACTTATAGCAATAAATGCCTACGTGAAGACAGAAGAAAGACCTTAAATCAATAGGCTAACTTGACAACTCCAGGAACTAGCAAGGGAAGAGAAAACTAAGCTTAAATCTACAATTAGAAAGGAAATAAAAAAGATCACAGAAAAAATAAATAAAATTGAAAACAGAAAAACAACAGGGAGAATCAACAAAACCATAAGATAGTTCTTGGGAAAGATCAATAAAATTGGCAAATCTTTAGCTAGACTGCCAAAGAAAAGAAAATATGTAAATAAACAAAACAAAAAATGAAAGGGGGGACGTTACAACTGACTCAACAGAAATAAAGAGATTGATGACAGACTATTATGAACAACTGTAGAGCAACAAACTGGATAACCTAGATGAAATGGATAAATTCTTAGAAGCACATAACATACATAAATGGACACAAGCAGTAACAGAAAGTCTCAACAAACCCATAATAATTAAAGAGATTGAATCAGTGATCAAAAGCGTCCAGACCAAAAAAAAAAAACTACTGGACCAGATGACTTCACTGGGAATTTCTACCAAACATTTAGAGAAGAATTGTCACATCCTGTTTAAACTCTTCCAAAAGGTAGGGAAGGAAGGAGTACTCTCTAATTCATTCTATGAAGCAAATGTAACCCTGATGCTCAAACCAGACAGTCACAAGTAATGAAAACTACAGGCCAATACCTCTTACAAATATAGATGCAAAAATTGTCAACAAAATACTAGTGAACGGAATCCAACAGCATACCAAAAGAGTCATACACCATGACCAAGTGGGATTTATTCAAGGAATGCAGGGGTGGTTCAATATTAGAAAATCAATCAATGTAATATACCACATCAATAGAAGAAAGGAAAACAACCACATGATCGTCTAAATGGATGCAGAAAAAGCAATTGGTACAACCCAATGCCCTTTCTTGATTAAAACCCTAAAGAAGAGTGGAATAGAAGGGAAATTCCTCAGTATAATTTAGGGCATATATGAAAAGCCAACAACCAACATTATACTTAATAGACAAAGACTGAGACAGGGTGGGGCCGAGATGTCAGAATAATCGGACATTTCCTGTCATCGCTCTTAAAACAAAGACCCAAAAAAACAACTGACTCGATTATATATGACAATCTAGGAGCCCGAATCATCAACGGCAAAGCTGAAGAATCGGACTGAGTGGCAGGTGGAAGGAGAGACAATTCAAAAGCAGTGGAGAAGTACAGATCCCGAGATCACCAATGCCCTGTTAGCAGAATCTGCACAGTGCACATGGGCTGAGGCAAGCAGCATCATTCAGGTGAGCCTCACCACACTGGGTGCAGACAAGCAGCAGAGAATCTGCACGCACCTCCAGAACCAAGTAGGTGTGACACCAGACCTGGGAAAATGCAAGCTTATAACCTACCTTGCAGAGGCAAAATAACCCCTACCCTTCCCAGAGTTTCACAGCAGAGAAACACTTCCTTCCCCTCACCCACTCCCACCCCACTCCAATCCAACACCAGTCCTGCAGTATTCAACCCCTAAGTCAGGAACTCAGAGCTCTCCATGCCACAGCAGTCTCATGGCATGCAAAAAAGCCACACACCCCAAAACCAGGAACACAGGGCCGGTCAGGAGGCCCTGAACCTTCCCCTAGCCGCTGGCATAAGGGGTCCACAGATTTGCAGTGCCCTTCACCCCTGCCCAGACCTGTGTAAGCCGATTCAACACATCATGCCCTCATTAGCATAAAACAGCAGGGAATAGACCTGAAGCCCATCTTCAACTGAAGCAGGCAAGTGGCAGCTACAGATTCATGACATTTGACACCACCCTGCCCCATAATCAGGGGACTAACCCACCCACACTGGTGGCCTTAGGGCTGGCGGTACCACCGACTCCATCTAGCCACCCATGACAGGGGTTTGAGAATTAGTGGTGGCAACCAATCCCTCCAGGAAACAGCACGGGGTGCCCAAGGACCGGCTGCAATACCCTCCCCCAATACATGCTCTAGAAGACAGGGATATGCCCTCCACCCAGGCACCTGGGGGCAGCCATCAGCAACCTGCCTTGCTACACACATAGCCTGCCACTGCAGACAGACACCTGTGCCTGCTCCAAACACGCATACACAGCCCTGCCTGCTTAAGAATGTAGGTGAGAGTCTGCACCATATACTCAGTCACACGACCGGGACACCTGTGCCACACTCTCACAAGAAAATTGAACAGACTCCTGGGTTCACACACCTACTAGATGTTCTGAACACCTGGAGACAGAATGTGAGAGCTTCAAAGATGTGAACAAAGTAGCTCACACACCCAGTCAGCTTGGGCATATCAAAAACAAAACAAAACAAAAAGTCAGGACACAGTAAACAAACCTACAATAGATAAATAAATAAATATAATAACTTACTGCTACCTCAGAGAGAATATTCAATATCAAATCACAGAAATAAGCAGGTCAAGATAGCTCCAGCAAGTGACTCAAATAAAGAACCAGGAACCCTTCCAGAAGAAGATCAGGCAATGGAACTACCTGAGAAATAATTCAAAAGACTAATATACAGAGTTCTCCAAGAGATCAGGAAGGAGATCAGTAAAAACTCACAACAATCCAAGGAACATACAGACAAAGCAATAAAGGATTTAGGAAAACAATAAAAGAATAAAATGACAAAATTAACCGGCTACTAGAAACCATAAAGACAGCAAGTAGATATCCAAAAGACTAACAATAAAATTTCAGAATTAGACAACTCAACAGAAGGTCATAGGAGCAGCTTTGAGACAATGGAAGTCAGAATTAGTGAGATTGAAGATAAATCCCTTAACACCAATTTGTTTGAGGAAAAATCAGAAAAAATAATTTAAAAAAATGAAAGTTTTTTGTTGGCAATTCTTCACTGATTTTCTCTAGGTTTTCCGTTTTCTACCCTTGTTCTGGAACACTGGTCACTGGCAATTTTTTGCTTTTAATTGTATCCCATATCACTCTCAGGGTTTCTTCATTTTTCTTCATTCTTTCTCATTTTTCCTCAAATAAAGTGGTATCCAAGGATTTGTCTTCACTTTTGCTGATCCTGTCTTCCATTGTTTGGAATCTACTCTTCAGATCTTCTATGACACTGTCCATTTCTGAAATCTTGTTCTTTATGTTCTGGATTTCTAATTGCTGTTTTTGAATGATTTCTAATTTAGAATTTATTTTGATATTTTGTTCCTGTATTACTTTCCTGAATTCTTCCATTGTTTTGTCTGTCTTTTCCACGATTCTGTCTGCCTATTCCATGATTTTGTCTAACAAATATGAAATGCTTCACGAATTTGTGTGTCGTCATTGCATAGCGGCCATGTTAAATTTCTCTATATCGTTCCAATTTTAGTATATGTGCTGCTGAAGCAAGCACAACTTCCCTAATATCATCAAATATTAAAAGCTGACCATCCAAGAACCTCAGCGAACCCCATATAGGATAGATCCCAAAACAAAATCAGCAAGACATATTATGATCACACTTGCTAAAACCAAAGAATCCAAGAGCAACTCGAAAAAAACAAAAAGTCACATACAGAGGGTAAACAAGAAGACTCAGTTCCAATTACTTGGGAGAAACCATACAGGCCAGAAGGCAATGCGATGACATATATAAAACTTTGAAAGAAAAAAATTACCAACCAAGAATAATACATCCTGCAAAACTTTTGCTCAAATATGATGGCGAAATTAGGACATTTCAAGATAAAGAGAAATTAAAGGAATATGTAAAAACCAAACCAAACTTACAAGAATCATTAAAGGGAGTCCTTTGGTTAGAGAATAAACAACATCAGACGACATCCTGAATCTAGGACACGAGACCGCATCAGCCAGATACCAAACTAGCTAATGAACTCTCAAGGATAAATCAAAACTAAAAGACTTACAACAGGGAACCAGAGAGGTTAATCTGTAATGATGATAACGTCACAACAATAAAAGAGGGAATAAATGGTGTAGGCATAGAACTTTCATATGTAGAGGAAGTCTAGGCGATACCAAGTAATAAAAGGCTAGTTCAAACTTAGGAAGACAAGGGTGAATCTCAAGGTAAACACAAAGACAGTTAACAAACCTACTCATCAAAATAAAGAAGAAAAACATAAAGTCTCAGTAACACAAAATCTATAAAAACAAAAGAAATGAAAAAAATCCACAAAGGGAATTCAGCACAGGAGATCAAGAAGAACAAAGAAAAGTCAGCAACACAAAAAAGCACTAGAAAATGACAGCAATAAACTCACACCTATCAATAATTACACTGAATGAAAACGGCCTAAATGAACCTATAAAGAGAAAGACAGTGACAGAATGGATAAAAAAACAGGATCCATCAATACACTGTCTACAAGAGACACATCTTAGAAACAAAGGACATAAATGTATTAAAAATCAAAGGATGGAAAAAAATGTATCAAGCAAACAGCTACCAAAAAAGAGCAGGAGTGACAATACTAATCTCAGATAAAATAGACTTTAAAACAAACTCCACCATAAAAGAAGGGCATTATATAATGATTAAAGGGACAATCCATCATGAAGACGTAAGCATAATAAAAATCTACGCACCCAATGACACGGCTCCAAAATACATAAAACAAACTCTAATGGCACTAAAAAGAGAAATTGACAATTCCACAATAATAGTAGGAGACTTCAACACACCACTCTCGGTAAAGAACAGAATACCTAGAAAGAAATTTAACAAAGATACAGAAGATATAAAGGCCACAATCAGCCAACTTGACCTCACAGACATATACAGAACACTCCACTCAACAGCTGCAAAGTACACATAATTTTCCAAAGCACATGGAACATTCTCCAGAATAGACCACATGTTAGGCCATAAAGCAACCCTCAACAAAATCCAAACCACTTAGATAATACAAAGTCTCTTCTCTGATCACCACGCCACCAAAGCAGAAATTAACAATAGGAAGAGCAAGGAAAAAAAATGAAATACACGGAAACTGAATAATACCCAGCTCAAAAACCACTGGGCAATAGAAGAAAGCAAAGATGGAATCAAAAAATTTCAATAATCAAATGAGAATGAAAACACATCATACCAAAACCTTTGGGACACAGCAAAGGCAGTGCTCAGAGGTCAATTTATAGCAATAGATGCATACATCAAAAAAGGGACAAAATCAAAACATCAGAATACAACTCGAACAAACAGAAAGATAACAGCAAAAGAAGCCCACAGCCACCAGAATAAAGGAAATAATAAAGATCAGAGCAGAAATATATGGAACAGAGAATAGAACAATAGAAAGAATCAGCAAAATCAACAAACCATTGGCCAAAGAGACAAAAGAAAAACAGGAGAGGACACAAATAAGAAGTGAAATGGGGGACATTACAACAGACCCAAATGAAATAGAAGGATCAAAACAGACTACTGTACTCCAACAAATTTGAAAACCTAGAGGAAACTGACAAATGTCTAGAACCACACTAACTAACCAAACTAACACAAACTGATGTTGAAAATCAGAACACACTCATAACAAGAGAAGAGATTGAAAAGGTAATAAAAAAAAAAAACTCCCAACAACAAAAAAAGCCCTGGCCCAGATGGCTTCATTGGACAATTTACTAAACATTCAGAGAAGAGATTACACCAGTACTACTGAAACTATTTCAGAACACATAAATGGAAGGGATACTTCCGAATTCATTCGATGAAGCTAGCATAACCATGACAGCAAAACTAGGCAAAGACACCACAAAAAAAGACAATTACAGAACAATATCTCTCATGAATATAGATGCAAAAATTCTCAACAAAATTCTAGCCAATAGAATTCAGCATCATATCAAAAAAATAATACACCACAACTAAGTGGGATTCATACCAGTTAGGCAAGGAAGGTTCAACATTAGAAAATCAATCACCATAACCCATCACATAAATAAAATAAAAGAATCACGTAAACATTTCAACCGACACAGAAAAGGCATTAAACAAAGTCTAATGCCCATTCCTGATAAAAACTCTCAATAAAATAGGTGTAAAAGGGAAATTCATCAATATAATAAAGTGCATCTATACAAAACAAACAGACATCATTCTTAATGGAGAGGCTGAAAACAATCCCCTTGAGAACAGGAACAAGACATGGATGCCCTTTATCACCACTCCCATCTAATATTGTGCTGGAAGTACTAGCTAGAGCAATAAGGCAAGAAAAAGAAATAAAGGGCATCCAAATTGGTAAGAAAGAAGTAAAACTGTCCCTATTTGCAGATGATACGACACTATACGTAGAAAACCCTAAAGACTTCATGAGAAAACTACTGGAACTAATAGAAAGATTCAGTAGAGTAGCAGGATAAAAGATAAATATACAAAAATCAGCTGGATTCCTATACACCAACAAAGAGAACAACAAAAAGGAAATCAGGAGAACAATACCATTTATAATAGCCCCTAAAAAAATAAAATACTTAGGAATAAACCTAACCAGGGATGTAAAAGACCTCTTCAAAGAAAACTACAAAACACTACTGCAAGAAATCAAAAGACATCTACAAAAATGGAAAAACATACCATCCTCATGGATAGGTACACTCAACATTGTGAAAATGTCATTTCTACTCATAGCACTCTAGAAATACACTGCAATCCCAATCCAAATACTACCAGCATTCTTTACAGAGATGGAACAATTAATCACTAACTTTATATGGAAAGGCAAGAGGCCACGGATAAGTAAAGCACTATTAAAGAAGAGGAATAAAATAGAAGAGCTGCACTACCTGACCTCAAAATCTACTAAAAACAGCCTGGTACGGGTACAACAACAGATACATTGACCACTGGAACAGAATTGAGAACCCAGATGTAAATCCATCCACCTATGGTTACCTGATCATCGACAAGGGCCTAAATGCATCAAATAGGGAAAAAAGTCTTTTTAACAAATGGTGCTGGGAAAATTGGATGTCCATCTGCAAAAAAAATGAAACAGGACCCATACCTCACACCATATACAAAAACTAACTCAAAATGGATCAAAGATCTAAATGTAAAGCCCAAAACTATAAAGCTCATAGAAGAAAAAATAGGACCAATGCTATAGACCCTAATACATGGCATTAACAGGATACAAACCATAACCATCAACACACAAACCCAAGAAGATAAGCTAGATAACTGGAATCTTCTAAAAATCAAACACTTATGCTCTTCAAAAGACTTCATCAAAAGAGTGTAAAGAGAACCTACAGACTGGGAAAAAATCTTTGGACAGTACAAGTCAGACAAAGGTCTAATCTCCATAATCTACAAGAAAATCCAAC